GCTTTGATCTTTGCTTTGCTGGCTGGGGAATTCTGGGAGTTGAAGTCCACACATCTTAAAGTTGTCAAGTTTGAGAAACACTGTCCTAGGAGATCTCCAAGGTCCCTTTCAACCCTATGATTCTATTAAAAAACAGGATCAAGAAAGAAATCCCAGACCTCCTTACATATGTGAAAGGGCCTTCACCCCACTTTCAAATATCTGTGCAGCTTCTGTCACCAAAATGTTGCCCTTCATTCTTCTAAAGACCTGCTAGCTTCAATGTTCCTGCAGCCAACCCATTGGGCAACTTCTTAGCTCATGAAACCGCCAGCCTCTCTCTCCACGTTGACGTCACTACTAACCACTATTTCTAAATCCCTGCACACATCCCAGGCTGTCTCCTTCCTCTTCTTGAATCCCAACTAGATTTTGTGATATTTTACAATAATATTTCGTACTGATCATATTACAGTAGTGTATTCATTCGCAAACCAGGGGAACTTATTATCTATTTAATTTTAGCAGCTAAAATAATTGCCCAACAATGGAAAACTCTAGATAATGTAATGAGATGGGGATTAACAAGGCCTCTTCAATTGCCACATTAGAAAAAAATCACAAAGTTAAAATGAGACATCCGAGTCAGCAACCGCAATTCTATCAAATCCGGATGAATGTTATGGTTTACCACAATACCAACAGACTGTAATATGGTCATACTTTATAAATATGTTAAATTTGTACACTTTATTTTTTAGTCGATTTCTGAAGGTATTTTCTGTATTTTTTTCTCTATGCATCTTGGATGCATGTTCATTTAGTTACCTGACAATGTTTGTTAATCATAGTTCAATAAAAACAGTGGGGGGGGGAGCAAACCACGGACGATTGTTAAGTATAAAATATAAGGTAAATTTTTGTACTTCTTTCTTAGTTTGCATTTTTAGTTTGTTTGGGGTTGCCTCTTTTCTAACTTTTTTAAAGTTTTTTTTTTTTAAGTTTAAAGATTGTTTTGTTAATTGTGTATGCATAAAATAAATTAATGACCAAATAAAGAAATCCGAATAGTGCAATGCGCTGCAAGAAGAAAAGCCTTGTGCCTTCTCCCTTTAACTTGCTTACTCTTGAGTAATTTTTTTCTCCCCCTTACGTGAAGTTTTCCCTTTAATTCCCTTTATTTCCCTATGTTGCCTTTCTGCAGGCCAGCCTTTCTCAAAAGGGGTTCTGTGAGAGATCATGATTTAAAACAAGACCATCACTTCTGGTTTCAGGCAGTTACTTAACAGAAATCTTATGTTTGCCTTATGAGTTTTCAAAAGTTAAGAAAGGGAATGAAAGAGATTAACTTCAAAAAAGGTAAGCTAAGCATACCTACCTGTTGTTCTTTTCCAGAAAGTCCATTTTAGTTTTAAATACAGGTGGTCCTCATTTAACAATTGGGACAGGTAACTCCATTGCTAAGTGACACCGTCATTAAGTGAAACATCACATGACTATGCCTGACTTATGACATCAGTTCTGCTGCAGTTGTTAAGCAAATTACCCACAGTTGTTACGTGAGACATCATGTGACTGTGACTTGCGACTTCCTGCTGGCTTCCCCACTGACTTTGCTTGTTGACAGCAAGCTGTGAAGTTCGCAAATGGCAATCACATGACCGTGGGATGTTGCAAGGGTTGTAAATGCGAGCCAGTTTTAAACTGACTGAATGCCAATCACGTTACCAAGGGGATGCTGCAACAGTCGTAAATTCAAGGACCTGTCATAAAGCTACTTTTTCAGGGTTGTCATAAGTTCAAACAGTGACTAAACAGGGCAGTTGTTAACCGAGGACTACCTGTAGGGGAAAAAAATATGCTTACATGTACCGTTCCTCATTAGCATCTTGTGATAAGACTTTCAGCCCTACGTAGCTAAGATTAAAAAAGGGGGGGGCATACCTCTCCTCTACCTACATTATGACTTGCATTACAGGTGATATCCTGGGGGGTGGGGGAACCAAATGAACAGAGTAGACTAATGATGGCCAAAAAGAGAGCCAGTTTGGTCTAGTGGTGAAGGCACCCGGCTAGGAAGCAGGAGACGGTGAGTTCTAGTCCCGCCTTAGGCACGAAAGCCGGCTGGGTGACTTTGGGCCAGTCACTGTCTCTCTGAGCCCAACTCACGTCACAGGGTGGTTGTGGTGGGGAAAACAGGAGGAGGAAGGAGTACTAGGTATGTTTGCTGCCTTGAGTTATTTAATTTAATAATAAAGGCAGGATAAAAATCTAAAAAAAAAAATAAACAGATGCCCAGAAAAATATCATTTTCTACTCAAAAGAGCATTGACAATTATTATTGGACTGTTAGGTCTAAAACTTACTGATCTTGCTAATGTTATTAGGAGCTGTAGATATAGCAATTTGCACGAAGGGGTTCACGGAGACCTGAAAATTAATTCAATCCAGGGTGAAAAGGTTGAGAACTGCTGCTTTAGGCTAAGAACTTCCTTTTACCCCCCCATTTTTCCCATTCATGCTTCCAGGCACAGCTTCTTTTGCTCCTTTCCTTTCTTGTTGCCCCATCTGTGAATCAGTCTTGCACCCCAAAAACACCACAGCTTTTTATACCTTACCCAAACTCCAAATTTCATTTCTACTCTTTGGAATAAACCCCACACCACCCTTTCTGACTTCCTTACTGACTCCAATCTAACAAACAGCCTATTACCTGTGCCAGTGAGTGTAGGGTTTGCTCCCTGTTTATGTACAATAGCTTGCCCTGCCAGTGTTGGTAAGAGTGTGGTTTTCTCCTTGGTAGTTCCTTGATTAGGGTATTGTTCTCTGCTGGTTTGTCTGTCTGGTGTTAATCCCTGCTTATCTGGAAAGGAGGTGTTCTTACCTTTTTGTTTCCTTCTTAGCTTTTTTATTGTCTCTTTTGAATGGTGGGTCAGTGTGGTTTATGTCTACGTGTCTACTGATGGCTTAAAAGAGAATCACTTCATATCTCAGTAGAAAGAGAGTTAGATCGGGTTAAATTTGGATCCTGGTCTTTTGAAAAACTCTGACCCTCTCTACCAAGCTAACCTGTCCCAGCGATATTTCTTCTACAGAATTGCCATTAGGGTGGCCAGTGTTTAACTCATGTTGGGCTTCTCTGCTTTTAGCTGTTGATCACTGGTTGTATGACCAGATGATATAACTAACTTCCAAGGTTGTGAAAAGGTTCAACTTTCTGATTCCTGCCCATCAAGGGGCAACTGAAGACACAGCTCAGCTAGCGGAGGGTAGAGACTAAGACCAGTTGGTTCCCTTACGTTTTAATATCCTATGTTGAAAAGATGGTCATCCTAAGTATGTTCCATGGTGCTACATGGGAAATTATTAAAGTGAAAAACCAGAAAAATGTATTTCATACTGGAAGAAGTTCCTTATTGGAGAACTCCCATCCTTGAATCCATAATAGAGCAATTCAGACCATGACTGACCATTTTAGAAGAACATCTACATCCAAATCAGAGTCTCCACTCAGTATCTTTTCCCTGTTGCAGCTACACACAACATAAATATGCCCAGACAACCTTTTTTTTCTACATCCCACAATATTATTTTTATTTAGTCTGCAGTTCATGAGTAAGACGGGCTGAAGTAATCCTTAACCGTACTGATATTAAAATAGTATTTCCCCTCTATTTTCAACATCACCTGAGGGCAGCTTCGAAGTGTGCAAAATCCATTCGGCCGGGTCACTTGGAGAAGGCAGGTGTCTGCTCTGCAGTGACTTGAAACAGAGGCAGGAGAGGGATCGGCCGTGGAGACAGCAAATGTCATGCCTATATTGTTTTTGCTGACTCAAAGATGGGTGGAGGGTGCTTTGACGCAGATGTGGGGGAATCCTTCCAGAAACCCAAGCTTTTGTTTTTTGACCTACCCACTCTGGTGTCTTCCTGAGGTGCTGCACTAAATCAACACATCTTCCCCAAACAACCTAGACAGTACATCAGTGTTTCTCAACCTTGGCCACTTGAAGGTGTGTGGACCACAACTCCCAGAATTCCCCAGCCAGCAAAGCAAAGATCAAAGCTGGCTGGGGAATTCTGGGAGTTGAGGTCCACACATCTTTAAGTGGCCAAGGTTGAGAAACACTGCAGTAGATGTTGGGAGCTACAATCCAGGAGAGCTAATCAGAGAATTAAAAACAGTCTGGCAGGATAGAAAGAACACATAAAGGCCCAGAAAAACATTGATCTTGGAAAATGTAACATTGCTCAAGAGTTGCTGGGTTTGGTCCAGGATTGTTTGACTCCGTGAGAACCGAAATGTTTCCTTTGTCGCAGCAGCAGATCCAATCAGGTCCTGACATTCTCGTAGAGCTGTGGTGAGTATTCGGACATGGGGACATCTGTAATCAGCAGAGGCAGCAGCATGAGTAAGCCCGTTTGCACTGCCCAATTAAAAGTTAGCATGTTGCTCCAAACTAACCCAAACTCTGCATCCTTAAAATAGGAATTTTATAAATGGAACCAATGATGCAATAGGAGATGTTTGCTTCCTTTGCCAATTTTTTTCCTCCTTTTGCTCAAAGGGCAGAACATGAAGCTTAAAGTCTTAAAGCTACTTCCCCCCCCCCCCTTTTTTTTTAAGGGCTTCTGGAAGAGTCTGCGTCCTCCTGGCGGAGAACTAATCAGATTTGTAATTAAATGGCTGCATATCTATATCCCTTTATGTTTATCTTTAACTATCCAACTACCGAGAGATTACTAAACATTTATTTGCAGCCCAAAAATAAAGGGCCCAGATTTTCACAATGATGGCCTTTCAGAGATCATGATCTGCAATTTCTGTCCTGTCTAGGGTGCCACATGGGGAAGGGAGCATTTGTCACCGTGCAAACTAGGAAACTATAGTATTTCAGGTTGTGGCATTTCAGATGCAAGAAGTTAACATTTTATGCATGGTGAAACTGCAGAATACGTATGAATTCCACGTCAAAAGCAAATTTTGTGTATGTTGCACAGTGAAACTGCAGAATACATATAAATTCCACATGCGAAAACAAATTTCACATACGATGCATGCTGAAACTGCAGAATGCATATGACTTCCACAAGCAAAACCAAATTTCACATATGATGCATGATGAAACTTCGGGACATATAAAGCCTCAGTTGCTAAAATGCATCGATCTGCTCAGCGAGGGACATGAAGCGTACAATGTCTCTTCACTGATAACACTGTTGCATCCTGCCCTTCCTGTTGGTTCTGATTCAGATAAACCAGAAGCAGTTTGCCACAATACTCCTTCAGATGCTGATACAGCTGAGAGCAGGTGATATGGTTAAATGCTCCTCACCAGAAATCCAATTCTTTGAACACAGGCTACCAAGCTAATTAGGAAGAATCATTCTGACCAGCCTTCTCAGTAAGGTCAGCCCACATATTTCATCCTCAGCAACTCTAATTTAAGAGATCTTTTTCCTCAACACTCCAGAATTCAACGATCTGGGTTTTCTCTCCAATCTGATATTCTTCTCTCAAGCTTCGTTCCCTTTTGAACAGAATCTAGGCATCCAAAAACAGAGGCAGGCAAGCTGAGAAAATCAGAGCACCTACCTTTACTCAGCTTCTCAAGATGGTCTGGGTACTTCTGGCTGGAAGAAGGGATTGCAAAAATTAGCACAACCCAGAGTGAAGATTTGCATCAAGGGTCCTCTACTGGCCAAAAGGCCCTCTACTGGCCATAGCAGATGCTATGCTAAACTCCTTGGAGGGTATTTTCAGGACAAAAAAAGCAATAAATAAATGCTTCCATAACCTCATGGGAAGGAAGGAAGGAAGGAAGGAAGGAAGGAAG